GGCCGGAGTGGCTGGGGATGCGCTTTGGGTTGATCCGGTTTCCCTCGTTCCCTGTTCCAGGGCTCGGGTCTCCCAGGTTGTCCGCAGGGTTATTAAATCTAGCCAGCCTGCGGTCTATCCTCGCGCCCATGACGTTAGGAAGTTTGCGGCTTTGGCTGCCGTGTTTGGTAATATGTCTTGGGCTCATATTCGGGCGCGTGGATTTTGGAAGTCGAACAGGGTCCTGGCCGCCCGTTATTTGGTGAATGTCCCTGCTCCTCGTCGTTCTTGTGTTGCTTTGGGTCGCAGGTTGCAGCCAGTTGTCTCGACTTCGAGTTGAGGAGTTTGTGGCCACCGCCTCCCGGGTAAGTCCCATTTTTCCTTCTCTTTGGGTATGTAGCTCCAGGGAGCCGTAGGGGCTCCCCCCAGAAAACCAGCGTTGAATGTAATGAAACGCCATTTTCTGGGTGAGCCCCGGAGGCTCCCTGGTTACCCTCCCTCCCATCCGGTCGGCGGGATTTTTCGCGTTGGTTGAAGCCTAGTTTCCGAACTGACGGCAGCCGGCGCGGTGAGGTCCGGGGCCCCCCCCCTCCCCCTCCCGGGGAGGGGAGGGCTGCGCGGACGACCGGCGCGGCAGTAAATTGATTGTTTGATTGTTTTCCTTGGGATTGTAGGGAGTTTTCTACCTCTCTGTTCGGTTTTTGTTGTAGTTTTTTACCATGTGGGGTTTGTTTTGTTACGCCTACCTTTCTGGGTGCCTAACCCCGGTCGATGGCAGATAAGGAAAACCCCCAACCATATGGGGTTTTCCAGGGCCATTGCTCCCTGAAACCTCTCTGAAGGGGCCAGGTTCTGGCGCTGGTCCCTGGTAGGTCTGAACTCCATAGCTAATGTCCCGGTCTAACATAACACACATTAGCCCGATAAGCTCCAGGGAGCCTCCGGGGCTCACCCAGAAAATGGCGTTTCATTACATTCAACGCTGGTTTTTTCGCGAAACTGTTCTCGTACCTTCCAATATTATTGAAACGTATGTTGACTTCCAGTGAGGTCTCCCTCTGGTCCTTTTTCGGACTCGTTGGTTCCCTTCCGTCCTCTTTGTCTTCTTTCGCTTTTGTTTCACCCTGTTTTGTTCTCACATCTTCTCTACTTCCAGTTTTGACGTTCCTCATCTTCGTTACGTTTACCTTCCTGGTGTTTGTACGATATGTGTATACGATGTCTGTACGTTATGTGTATGTACGATATGTGTGTGTCCACCTGGTGTACGAGCCACGCCACCCGGTAGACGGGTGGTGAATTTCGTACCTCGTGTGCTGGGGCCGGGGTGTTCGTTTTGTTTCTGGGCGGTGTACTCATGTGTTCTGCGTCGTTTCTCGCAGTTTTCTACAGGTTCTTGCTCGTTTTCTCTCTCCAGTCATAGTTCTCTAGATGTTGAGGGTGTTCTGGATTTGATATATAGGGAACTGAAAAGAACGTCAGAGAATTCGTTCTTTTCTCTGCTTCCGGGTGTGGGGTGGCTCAGAGTGGCACCACCTCCACCTCTTTACTGCACCTCATCTTCTGCTGGGTGCACGCCTCTGGACATATTTCACTTTAGATTTCCAAATTTTATTCAGGTGGCAGTACATATAATGTCTACAGCCTCTAGTACGCATGGCATTTGAGCGTACCACTAGCGATGCGCCTGGTATGTTACTTGGCTCAACTTTGTTGTTGCACGGTCATCTCTCTGCTCTGTAGTTGAGATTGTCCTGTCTGGCGCCTCTGTCGGCCAGGTGCTGGTTCTCGACTTTTGGTGGTGTGCTTACCTAGTTGTGCTTGCAGGGGTTGAGCTCTGGTTTTCTGGTCCCTCCTCTCTCCTGTCGGTCGATGGGTGTGCAGTTTCGAGAGCCTACTGGGCTCAAATCTTATCTACATTTGCTCCTGTGGGTGGAGTCTGCCTCCACCTTGTCGCTTCCTAGTGCATTCCATTTCCTACCTCCTCTGACATTGATCAGGTTCTTTTTCCTGTCTGTGGCTCCTTTGGGTACTCAGCTTCCTCCAGTGTCCCCTTGTGCATGTATCACCCTAGGTGACTGCTCCATCCTTGTCACTTTCCCGCTTGGCAAGGTTGTGTCGATGGCTCCTAACGGGGGTGTTAGATGTTGTGTGTTTTGTTTGGACACCTTGTATGTGTCTTCAGTGACTTTCCTTTGTCCATGTGTCTTGTTCTTTGTTGTCCTGTGGGGCTCTGCCCCGCATTTTGGTGCTTTTGGTTTCATTTGTCGGCACCTGGGTCTTTTCCCTATATTTGGACACTCCTTCGTTTCCTCAGTCCTTGTTTGTGTCCTTCATTGCTTGGTCTCTGATCTCTGGACACTCATTCCTTGCCTATCTTCGGTGCCCGGGCTGCACCCTGATATCCATGATGTCCTTCGGTGTATGTGCACCCTCCACTACACACTTTGTGGTTGGTCGTGTGCATTGCATTCCCGGCTGCTCCTTGGTCCGTATTCGAGGGTTTTCTTGCCTATTTCTGTTTTTCCTCCTCCTATGATACACTTGACTGTGTATCTGGGTCGGTGCTTATTGACTATACTGATGTTGGGTTCTCGGGTGGGCCTCTGTCCATGTTCAGTTCCCTGTTTTTGGACTACCCCTGTGTTCCGTTTTGGTACCGAGTTCCTTCACTTTTTCTTTGTATCTCACTGCTGGCTTTGGTGTTGCACTGTCTGTGGGGGGATTGTGGACTTTCGGTCAACCGCTCCTGCCCTACTGGTTCCTTTCCTTGGGACAGGTAGCTGGGTTCCAGTCCTGGCTCCGGCTTTTCTTTGTTCCTTTTCCAGGACGTGTGTTTTTGCTTTCCTGCGGTTCACGTCCTGCGTAGTTCTCCTCATGGATACCTTGGGGACGTGTGCGTCATTCTTCCCTGCTGGAGCTGGTTATGCTGCTCCTTTGGGTTGTGGGGTCGCTGTTTTTCGATTCGCGTTTTGCGCTTTCGTTCGTGGTGCTCGTTTTCCTCGTTGGCCTCTGCCTGGGCCCTGGTTCCTTGGTGTTGGTCTTGGACCTTCAGGGGTCCTGGGGGGAATCCTCCCGAACGGGGCGTTTCTGCTCGCCCGGGTTGGTTCTTTTTCCGCTTGCTGAGATTGGGTTCCTTGTTTCCCTGGCGACTGTTCCTTTTGGTTTTTGCCTGCCTTAGCGAGACCTGCTGCTTTCCTCGGTTCTGTGGTCATGTGGGTCTTCCCGCGGCTCTGCATCTTTTTGCAGATCGGTCCAGCTCTGTACAGGGCTGGTTCGTTCTTACCCTTGAGTTTTCGTGCCTCGGGTTTTTGTTTCTGGTTTCTCGTCACTTGTCTCGGTTCGGTGGGTTCGTTGTTGGTCTCCCACCTGCATTTTTCGTCTCGGGGCCAGTGTGTGGTTTTTCTGGCGGTCCTTCCGGTTTTCCTATCTCTGCGAAGGGTCCTTCGGTCTCTGATAGGGTTGGCTTGTCTTTCCTTTGGGGATGTTCCGGGACCGTCATCTGGGACAGTGTCCTGTCGCCTCGTATTGGGTGGTGCTGGTGGTGTTGCTCCAGCTTGCGTTCGGTGTTGCTGTTCCTTCTGCTCTGTTCCACTTGCTGTCTTGGGCATTGTTTCACCTCCGGCCTGCTCTTGAGTTTCTGGTGCCATCCTGGTTGTTGGCCCGGGTGGTCTATTTTCTTCTCCTCATTTAGGTCCTTGGGTTGCTGCTTGGTTGGTCAGGCCAGGGGGGGGGGGGTGCTTCCTTTGTTGTTTGGTTGCGTTTTTTTCATTGTCCTCTGCATGTCTTGGCCTCTGGGGTCATGGATGCATTTTGGTTGACTGTGTTCCCTTTCTTCCATCATTCCTGTTCTTGGGTTTAGGTCTGCAGGGTCTTTGTTTCATCTGTGGTCTTGGTTTTTTCGGTTAGGGCGCGTGGTGTCTGCCTCCCGGATCCTTCCCTATTTTCCTTATCTGTGGTGAGGTAGCTCCGGGAGCTGACAGGGCTTCCCCCAGCCATTTTCTGGGTAAGTCCTGAAGGCTCCCCGGCATCCCTCCCTCCCTCCGGTCGGCAGTATTTTTTGCGTATATTGACATCCAGCTTAAGAACTGCTGGTTGGATCACCGGTGCGGATGGTCTGGGGCTCCCCTTCCCCCTCCGGGGGTTGGAGTGGAGGGGGGGTTGCGCAGACAGCGGCGCGGCGACGTGATGACGTCATACTAGTTTGATAATTTTGTTTTGGGAGTTCTGTCCACTCATTCGGCTTTCGGTAGCAATATTTTCACCAGAATAGGGTTTGTTTTGGAGCGCCTACCTTTCTGGGTGCCTATCCCGGTCGAAGGCAGACATAGAATGCTCCCAATCACAGGGGGGTTTCTATAGGCCATTGCTCCTCGTGCCTCTCTAGAGGGTGCCAGGTTCTGGCTCGTGGTCTCCAGTAGGCAAGAACTCCACGCACTTTGATTGATGCCAGAAAGTTGTACATATCCATTCAGCCTGGATAGCTCCGGGAGCCTCCGGGACTCGCCCAGAAAATGGCGTTTCTTTACATTCAACGCTGGTTTTTGTTGGCCTTGGCCACTGGCATTGAGTAATGAGCTTCATTCCCCGTGGCACTATCCTGGGTTTATCATATATTTTTCCCCTGTGACACTATTTTATTTACCTGTCTGTAGACCCTTCTTTCCTAATAAAAATTTATACTGCTTATAAATTATAAAATTTATAATTAAAAAGTTATAATTTATACTAAATTTATACCACCAAAATCTAGATGGTTTTGGACCTATTATGGTGTGGGTTTGGTTCCTATGGCCTTCTGTTCACCATGATCTGTGTCTTGTTGGGGGCCATTTTATCTGCTTACAGACTTGTCAAGCTCAGCCAGCCAGAGGCTGATTTCTGCACATTTTAGCAAAATTAATTTGGTAAATTTGTGCACAATCAAAAACAAACAATATTGCATTGACTTTCTAATCTTTTCATTAGTTTAAGAAATTTGCAATCCAAGCATAATTTATACTTCTATCATCTTTTTGCAGGATAAGCAAGATCAACTTCAGCAGTTCTCGGGTGAACAGGTCCTTCGGGGTGAGGAGTTTAAGAGTTATGTTAATAAGTTACGAGGCAAGAGCTCGGTGTACAAAATGAAACGTGCCGAGTTGAGTGAATTGAGAGCCGAGTTTGGAGTTCTTAGTCGAACAGAAGAGATTCTCAAGTCCAAAGAGGCACAAATGCTAGAACAACTTGTAAGTTTATTATTAGATAATACTGTATATAAATGTTATTTAACTAGTGTAACGAGAAATATATATGGGAAACTGCTTCAAAGATAATAGAGACACTTAAAATGTCAAATTTTTCATAGTTTAAAAAAATCAGATAATATGTTTTGATAGATGAATTCACAAAGCAAGTTCTGTAACATTGTTATACCATTCTTGTTACTCCCTTGTTCACCCTCTCATCCCCCCCCCCCCACCCCCTCATTCACATGCCAGCAGCAGTCCCAAAGCTCTAAATACAAATCCTGTTGCCAAGTATTGTATAACAGTTTGATGACTATGTGATTGGTGTCCCAATTAGCATGAACAGCTAGAGAATCTGAGGAATAATCGATGTAACAAATATATCGAGTTATAAATCTGACAATAATAAAGTTATTGTCAGTTACCAACTGCCAAGATTTGGCTTAAAATTTGGGAGGAAAAATTATTCAATGAACTGTGTCAGTAAAATGACCCCAAGTCTAGAGCTTTAACAACTGTGATGCGCCAAATTTACTGTGACATTCCCCCATATGCGCACGAAATCCAGTGTTCCCAAAAAATTCTTTTCTGTGGGAGCCCCTACGGCTCCCTGGAGATTATCAGGCTAATGTATGTTATATATTAGACCGGGACATTAGCTAAGGAGTTCAGACCTACCAGGGACCAGTGCCAGAACCTGGCCCCTTCAGAGAGGTTTCAGGGAGCAATGGCTCTGGAAAACCCCTTTGTGATTGGGGTTTTCCTTATCTGCCATCGACCGGGGTTAGGCACCCAGGAAGGTAGGCATAACAAAACAAACCCCACATGGTAAAAAACAAACAAAAACCGAACAGAGAGGTAGAAACTCCCTACAATCCCAAGGAAACAAGCAAACATCACACTTTACCTGGGTTGAACCTGGCCGTCTGGCTTTCTAGGCTTCATTGACCTTTTCTTTTGAGGCTGGTGCTTTGGATGATGATTCGGCCCTGGGTCCTGCGGTGAAGGATCCTGGAGTGGGGGCAGGGCAGACTTGGAAGCCTTGGACCTCGCCTGGGTTTTTCTGCCCTTTGAGCGGGGCTTACTGTTACAAGGAGTGGGGTTTTCTTTTCCCCCCCTCTGCGTACGAGTTGGATTTGGTGTCTGCCCCTCCCCAGGTTTGATTCCGTGTCCTCCCGGGTGCGTCCGTTCTGCCTTTCTGGAGGTTTTCAGCTTCTCACATCCAACTTTCTGTGGTGCGGGCGGCCTTTGCGGCTTACTTCCTGCGTGACCCGGAGTATACCTCTGTTATGAATCCGTCTTCATTCAGGTTTGGATCGTCGTTCCTCTACAGGGTCCGTTACGGGTCGTATTCGTTCTGGAGTTGTCCTGGCTGGCGGACTGTCCTGTGTTTGCTTTGGAGGTTTGGAATACCTTCTGTCATTCTCGTACACTTGAGTGGTGCGAGGTCTCGACGGTGGTTCAGGTTTTCCCGGGGAGCGAGTTTGAGTACCTCAATGAGTGCTTGTTTGCCCCTGCTTTTCATTGGGATTTTGGAGTTGTGCAGCTCCATGTACAGGTTCCGTCCTTTTCAGCTGCGCAGGTTGCTGAGGACTTAGGCGCTCATGGCCTCCTGATTTCAGCCTTGTGTTTCTTTTCCCTCCTGGAGCTACGTTCAGACTGGCTTCAGAAGGATGTGGGGATGCTGTAGGCTGTTCTTGGGTCCAGTGCCTTGGGCTCGGTGGCTCACTTGTCATCTGCTTTTTTGAAGCTGTTTGTGCCGATCCTGTTGGATGCGGTTTCGCTGTTTTATGCTTCCTGGTTCGCATGTCGGCAGGCGGTGCTTGCTTCCTCTTTGGAATCTGCCTGGGCCCTGGCTCTTAGGATGTCTTAGCCTTTTTGTTCCCTGCTGTTTGCTGACTCTGCAGTGTTGCAGTATTTCCAGGCTGCCTTGGCTAGTTGTGGTCCTCTGTCCGACTTGTTGGTTCTCCTGGGGCCCCAGGGGGGCGGGAGGCTTCCCGGCAGGGTCGTGCCAGGGCTCAGGATTCCACTCGTCGGGGTAGGCCACTGGTGACAGTTTTGGGACCGGTCCCGCCTTCGGACCAGTCTTCGTCAGGTTGGTGCGGTGTTCGCTCTGTTTGAGGCTCGGGTTCTCATAAGGGGCACTGGCCCTTTCATGGTTCGCCTCATTGTCGAGGCGATGGGGGGATGGCTTGCTCTGTGTGCTCACGCCTGGTCCCACGATTTGTGGGCATTTCAGTTGGCCTGTGGTGGCATTGGGGGGTCCCTCCTAATTTGAGGGGTTCGGGGCTGGCAAGGCAGGCCTCTTCCTCTGTGCTCTGTCAGGTCATCTTGGAGTGGGTTCGCTTAGGGGGTGATCCAAACAATGACGTCTCTCAGATGGGTTTCTCGTCTGTTCCCAGTCCCGAAAAGGGACTGTGTGGACCTGCGATTCATTCTGGACTTGTCCCGTCTGAACGCCTCTGTTCATTGCCCCTCCTTCCGGATGACCACGCTGTCCCAGGTTCAGCTCCTGTTGGCACCGAGTGCTTGGATGGTGTCCCTGGACTTCCGGGACGCTTATTTTCACATCCCAATTTATCCAGGGTTCAGGCACTGGCTTGGTTTTGTTGTGGGGTGCCAGTGTTACCGCTTTCGTTGTCTCCCATTCGGGTTGAACCTGGCACCTCGCGTGTTCACACGCCTTACCCAGGTCATGGTGGCCCATCTGCATCTGTTAGATGTTCAGGTGTTGGCTTACTGTACTTCAACGACTGGCTGGTTTGGGCTCCCAGTCTGTCCGCGTGTCTGCTCGCCAGGGAAATGGTGCTTTCCCAGCTAGCCGGGTTCAGGTTCCTGGTGAACTGGCAGAAGTTCCATCTGGTTCCCTCCCAAGTTCGGACCTGGCTGGACCTTGTGTGGGACTCTCAGACCGCTTCCTTGTCTCTTCCTCTGGAGTCTTTCCTTCGGCTGCAGTCCCGCATGCGCTTCTTACTGGGGGCTCCCGGATCACCCGGTGGTTGCTCGAGGGTCTGTGCGGGAGCCTGAACTTTGTGATGATGGTCTACCAGCCGGGTCGGGTTTGGCTTCATCGGATGTTCTGGTTCCTTCGGGGACGTCCCTTCCACCTCTCTAGCGATCACTGAGTTTGACCCCCGAGGGCCTTATGTCAGCAGCTGCGTCGCCGACTTCCTCTTCGGGTTTTCGGGGTTCAGTGCCTTGGCGCCTACCTGAGCCCCTTGCTCGATTTGTTCACGGACTCGTGATCTCTCGTCTAGGGCTTTGTGACCAGTGCTCACCAGGCCGACCAGGGGCGGTGGGCTACGTCCTTCTGTCAGGCCCACAGCACAGTGTGGGAGTTCGCAGCGGTGTGGTGTGCGCTTCGGTGGGTTCGGGTTGCCTGCCGATTGACGATCTGACTCCATTCGCACTGCTCCCTGGTGGTTCATTGCCTGAACCGAGGGTGGGTTCGATGCGGTCCTTAGCTCTTTGGGGTTGGTCGCTTTGGGTGACTTTTTTGCTGAGTTCTCGAGGTTTGGCTCTTCTGGTGGTTCATTTCCTGGGGGTGTCCAACGTCATGGCGGATGGCCTGTTCTGGTTCGTTCCCCTGTCAATGGAATGGACCGTCCATGCCGACTTATTCAGTTGGCTCTGCCAGACGTTCAGGCACCCGGAGGTGGACCTCTTCATGTCAGCGTGGTCGAGGCGTCTTCCAGTATATATGGCGCCTTTCCCCGATCTCGAGGCCGTCGGGATCGATGCCTGACGACAGGACTGGTTGAGGTGGGGATTCCTGTACCTCTTCCCCCTGGTTCAGCTGTTGCTCCAGCTTCTCGTTTGCTTGGAGACTTACCAGAGGTGAGTTGTCCTCTTGGCCCTGTAGTGGCTGGCCCAACCGTGTTTTAGGAGGCGCTGCTTGCCCGGTGTCCGAACCTGGAGGTTTTTCCACGGCTCTGTCTCTTTCAGAAGCTCGGCCTGGTCCGTTATGAGACTAGTTCGCTCTTCTCCTTGAGTCTTCGCATTTGGTATTTTTGACTCAAGTTTATCACCATTTGTATGGTGATCAGGTGGCTTCATTAATGGTATCCGAACTGCGGGCTTTGTCTCGGTGGCAGTATGAAATTTCCTGGCGGTCCTTCCGTTTCTTTTTGACTCTTCATCATTGTACTTTGTTTTCAATTCGGATGGTGTTTTAGTTTCTTTCGTGGTTGTTACCGAATCGTCATCTTATGCCAAATATTGTGCAGCGCTGTCGGAACTGCTTCAGCTTTCTTTTGGTATAGATGTTACTTCTGCGCCGTTTCACAAGCTGTCTCGTGCGTTGTTTCACCACCGACCTGCTCATGCGCCGTCTGAGCCATCCTGGTTTTTGGACAGTGCTCTCCTATCTCTCTCCTCCTCGGTTTGTTGTAGCCCCTTCGGTTCAGGATTGTTTCTTTAAGGCTCTTTTCCTGTTGGCATTGGCCTCTGGGGGTCAGGGTTGCAGAGCTTCATGCTCTTCTCCAGCACAGGGGGTTTCTGCTCCTTCGGTCCTGGTGGTAGGTTTGTCTATTTGCAGCCGTCTCCTTCTTTTATGGTGAAGAATGAGACTGGTGCTTTCCGGTGGGGTCCTTGGGTTATTGGTGCTCGGGTGGTTAGGCAGGGGGTGCGTCATGTGTTGCGTCTGGTCATGGCTCTCCGCTGTTACCTGAGTGCCACGGCCTCTGTGACTGGGGACGCGCTGTGGGTTGACCTTGTTTCCTTTCTTTCCCTGTTCCAGGATTCGGGTCTCTCAGATTGTCCTCAGGTTTATTCGGCCCAGCCAGCCTGCGGTCTATCCCTATGCCCACGACATTCGTAAGTTTCCTACACTGGCTGCCATCTTCGGTAACATGTCTGGAACTGACATTCGTTGGCGGGGTTTTTGGAGGTCAAACGGGTTCTGGCCGCTCACTACCTTGTCAATGTTCCTGGGCCTAGTCGGGCCTGTGTCTAGTTGGGTCAGCGGTGACAGCCAATTGTCTCGACTTCGAGTTGAGGAGAAAGTGTCGTCCGCCTCCTGGGTAAGTCCTTAGTTTCCTTATCTTTGGTGATATAACTCCAGGGAGCTATTGGGGGTCCCCTCAGAAAACCTGCATTGAATGTAATGAAATGCCATTTTCTGGGTGAGCCCCAGAAGCTCCCTGGCAACCCTCTCTCCCTCCAGTCGGCAGTTCCGTTTTCATTTTTGATGCTTAGCCTCTGAACTGGATGGCTTGGGTATCCAGTTGGGAGTTGCACGGGCTGGCAATGCAGCAGTGATGTGTGACGTTTGCTTGTTAACTTGTTTTCTTAAGTTGTAGGGGAAGTTCTGCCTCCCTGTTCGGTTTTTGGTTGCTTTTTCTTACCAATTGAGGTTTGTTTTGTTACGCCTACCTTTCTGGGTGCCAACCCCGGTCAGTGGCAGACATGGAATACCCCCAACCACATGGGGGGTTTCTAAAGGCCATTGCTCCCTTTCCCTCTTTGAGGGGGCCAGGTTCTGCCTCATGGTCCCTGGTAGGCTGAACTCCACTGACCGATGCTCTGGTGTAATATATCACATATCAGCCTGATAGCTCCAGGAAGCTTCTGGGGCTCACCCAGAAAATGGTGTTTCATTACATTCAATGCTTTTTTTTTTATAGCTTGCAAGTTTTGGAACAAGTGGCCAAAGACTCAAAAAACAGAAGTGCCAAAAAATTCATTCCTTAAGTTCTTTTGTAAATAGTTGGAACAAGTAAAGTGAGAAGGTGGTGGATGCCAAAACCACTTAAAGTGTCATATGACAAAGATTACTGGGAAGACATGGCTCTCATCCAGTAACTATACACATCAAAACTTACTAGTTTTTCCGGTGGAATGTGCAGTACAATACTGCATTTAAGATTAATGCCAGTATGAGAAAATCAGTACGAGCCTTGAGGAGGATTCAAACCAGCTCACTTGGTACTCCTAAGCTAATATAATGCCAATATATTAAATTGGGGTATATGAGGGCAAGTAAGGAATTATATTTTATTGATTTGATTTGATTACATTTGTGTCAAACATAGAAGTGTATAGGTAGCTAGGAGCATTTGCTATGAAGCAGTACCTTGCAAAATTTGTCTGTCACCAACATTCTGAAATAAAAATTTCAGAATGCATTAGAAATGCAGATGGGGGTATCAGGCTTCCGTGAAGCTCAAGAGAATATGGAAAAAGTGTCATCCATGAAAGCTGAAGTTGATGAACGTAAAGGGCAAACACTTGAAGAAATGTCTGGCATGGTCATGGAGCTTAATCATAAAATTGCAGAAAGAAAAGCACGTTTGGCTCCAATTATCAAAGGTAAGTTATGGATGCTCATGTGTCCATAAGGTTGCATGCACCATATTGATGTGTGCATGACTATATAGATGAATAAATGTGCTATGTTTAGTGTGCTATACTGATGATTACATATATCGTGTTGAGGATTGAATATAATATATCACATTGATAACTCTGCATACTATATTTATCTTCTTACATTAGGCATTATATATACTGCACTAACTAATAATACAGTGGCACCTCGACTTATGATTGCCCCCAACTTACGATAATTTCGAGTTACGATGTAAATTTCATCGAAAAATGCGACTCGACTTACGATAGTGTCATCGACTAATGATATTTGTTGGTACACGTTTGGGTCGATTGAGCGCGTGGTTCCCAGTCACGCGGGCCAACCTGCCTCAGTTTACTAGAGCTGCCCACTTAGTGACAATCACGCCTATAAGAAATTCCGTTTTTGTGGTGATTTTTTGCTTTTTGAACATAAAACTGATTATTATATATCACGCCATGGGTCCCAGAAAGTCAGTGGTAAGGTTCAACCTAAGAAAATAGTTGTGAATTGAGGCAGTAGAGAATATCCCTTCCTCATTAAGAAAATGCGTGAAGTATGGGAAGAACTGCAAAGTTTTGCTGAAAAAACTCACCCAGATAAAGCTGTAGCAGGCCGTTGCATTGACCTTTTAAATGACAATGTGATGTCTTACTACAGACGAGTGTTAAAATGTAGGGAAAAACAAGTGTTTTTAGACAGATTCTTAGTAAGACAAGCAAGCAGTGAGCCACAAGCAGGTCCTAGTGGTGTGCAGGCAAAACATGCCAGAGAGTGTATCCCAGAAAAGTCATCACTGCCTGATGTTATGGAAAGGGATTCCCCTTCCGAACAGTAACACCTCTCCTCCCCCTCCTCACCATCTTCCATACGCCATCAAGAGTCCTCCATAAAGGAAAGATAAACATTTGTACTGTATTGTAATTAGAGAACAAAATTGTATTCAGTATAAAATGTATTTGTAAGTTAGTAAGTTAGTAAGAAGCCCTGAGGCTGCCCCGTTTTGGTTGGTGGTCTAGTCGGGTCCCCCGTCCCGCCCTGCATCCGGGTCCTTCCCGTCTGTGGGTTCGGGGTCGGGGCAGGGTTTCCATGGTTTTGAGACTCGGTCTCGGGGAATTTCCCTTCCGGGGTAGCGACGAGGGCATTCAAGCCTGTTCCTCCAGCCTTGTTGTAAGAGTCTGCCAGTGGGCTCCCTTCCTTTGTGCTTTTCACGGCTGCCCCATTTTTTCTTGAGGCTGGGGCTTTGGGGGGACGGCTCAGCCCCAGAGCCTGCAATGTGGGTTCCTGGGGCTGGGGAGGAGCTGACTTGGGTGGCCTCAGGCCCCGTTGGACCCCGCCATGATTTTTTGTACCCTCTGGGCAGGGCTTGCAGTTGAGCGGAGTGTGGTTTTCCTTCCCCACTCTCCACACGAGTTGTTGGGCGTCAGCCCCTCCCCGGGCTCAGTTCCTTGTCCCTTAAGCCCGTTGGTTCCATTCTGTCGGTGGGTGCTCTTCTCCGTTATTCGCCCATTTTTCTTGGGATGGGACTTCTCCGTCATGTTCCCCTCTTCTTGGGGTTCTGCATGACTTTTGGTCTCGGGTGCGACTGGGTCTTTCAATGCCTTCGTCATTTGTACTTGCTTCTGTGTTCTCAACGGTTCAGGATGGTTTTTGCTCCTTCCCGTATTACTGGAACATCTTTCGTCTTTCGGTGAGGCTTCCCTCCGGTCCTTTCAGGGGCTTGTTGGTCCTCTTCGGTGTTTCCTGTTGGTTTTCGGCCCTGTCTTTTGTTCATGTATCTTTTCTCCGTGCTGTCTTGGCACTGCTCGTTTTCCTTCCATACTCCTGGTCCGGGATGCCAGGTTGGGCTGCTTGTGGCCCGATTCGGCTACTTGTCGCCCAGTTGGGCTCCTGGTGGCCCGGTTGGGTACCAGTTCGGTTCATTCTTTTCATTACCGGCTATGTGTGTCGTTGCTTACTCCTTTTTGGTTTCTGTTCCCGTGCGTTGGGCTGTTTCTTCTCTTACGTGAATCACTCGGGATGCAAACTGTTGGGCTACTTTAGTGTCCTGCGCATGCGTCGTGGGAGTTTGTTTTGGTTCGGGCGGTGTGCACAAGTGCTTGTGTTCTCCATCCATTTTCTCTCGAGTGCTTTGCCTCTCGCTCTTCTCATTCTCCAGTCCGTGCCCCGTTGCTCCTGAGGGTGTTCTGAAGTGCTGCTATGGAGAGGACGCTGGGTTTTCCCTGCGTTTTGGATGCGGGCACCTCCTTCGCCTCTCCCCTCCTCTTCTCCTGCATGAGCAGCTCTGGCCTGCTTCCGTGGGTGGTGCTCCCGTTTTTGTGGGCTGCGGGTGCACAATACCCTCGCCTCCTCTGGCAGCACCAACCTAGTAACATTGTCGTGACCCTTTTGTGCCTATGTTCTGCAGGTGAGTTTATGCGGTCTGGTGTCTCCTTCGTCCAGGCGCTGGTTCGTTTTGGGGGTACGAATGGGAGTACATGGAGCATACATACAGGGGTGTCTGCAGCAGGCCTATTGGCCCATACGAGGCGGCTCCTGACTATGCCCATCCAGTCCCTCTCCCATGCATGTCCGCCCATGCTTGCATTTCAGGGCCCCGCCTCTACTGTGTTCTAGGGTACAAAGGTGGAGGTGCCTGATATGTAGTACATGTTCCTGTGTTCAGGGGTGTTGTGTGGTGACGTTTTACTGCGGTTTTGATACTGCGGTTGCATGTTGGGGTATAGTTGTGGAGTTTTGTTCGGCCCTTCCGTGTTTCTTCTTGGGGCCTTCCTTGTTTGGGTTCTTTATTCCCATGATTTTCTGGGTCCCTCATTCCTGGCCGGTCTTGCTGTACCAGGCTTCGCTTTTCCATGTACATTTGATTCTCTGTACTCCCCTAGTTGTCGTCACAAAGTTGTGCTTGCTGGGGATGAGCTTTGGCTCTTAGTCCTGCCTCTCGTCTGTCATTCTACTTCTGTACAGGTTCTTGAGCTTTCTAGGCTATCTTCTCTGCACTAGACGCTGGGTGTGGGGTTGGCCTCCGCCACTTCCCTTCCTCATGCGTTCCTATTGTCTCCTGCGGACACTGGTGTGCTGCTTCTCTTTTCTATGGCTCATTTGGGCATTCAGTTCAACATTTTTCCCCCGTTACGTGTGCCCCATGGTTTGTATTTCTCCACCCTGTCGTTTCCTCTGAGGGTTTTGCTTGTGGTGGTCATGTCCCCTCTGAATCTTCTGTCTCCCGAGGACGTGTTGGGACATGTCCAGTGGCTTTTGGTGTTGGTACGGTCCCTTCGTTCCCGTTTGCTGTTTACCTTCTTCGTTCCTCAGCTTCCTTTTGTCATCCACATTGTGTTTTGTTTGTGCCTTTTGGCTCTTCTATTGCCAGGTTTCGATTCTGGTTCCTGGCTTTCCTGGTCTGTTGGCGTTTTCAGAGTCTCGCGGTGTCCCTTTTCTGGAGTTGGTCTCCAACCTCCTGGCGGCTCGCTGGCGTTGGGATGTTTTTCGGTACAGCAGACATTCCATCTCCTTCTTTGCCGGCTCGGGTTTCTGGCTTTGCCTGCTCGATGGTTGCACCCAGGATCTTCCTGTGGCTCCGCCTCTTCCTCGGCCCGTTTGGCTCTGCCTCGAGTCTTACCTTCTGTTGGTGGTCAGGTGGCTTCATTGCTGATGTCCTACCTGCGTGCCTATTCTTGGCGACGGTGTGGGTTTTTTTGGCGGTCCTTCCTTTTCCTTCTGTCCTTTCTTAGGTGGCTGTGTTTTTTGGCGTTGTTGTGTTCCTCTCTCGTGGGGTTGTTCGGGGCCGTCATTTTGCCGCATACTGTCGCCCCGTATCGTGTGGCACTGGCGGAGCCGCTTTCGCTTGCGTTCGGTATTGATGTTACTTCTAAGCCATTCCGCAAGCTGTCTCGTACGTTGTTTCACCTCCGGCCTGCTCATGTGTCGTCTGTGCTGCCCTTGTCTTTGGGTGGAGTGCTCTTTTCTTTCTTCTCCTCAGTTTATGGTGGCCCCTCCTGTTCTGGTTTTCTGCTCCTTCGGTCGGGGCAGTAGGTTTGTTCGTCTCCAGCCGTCTCCTTTTTGTCTGGCAAAGGTTGACACTGCTGTTTTCCGGAGCGGTCCTTGAGTTTTTGATGCATGATTGATTAGGCCAGGGGTGCATCATGTTTTGTGGTCCATGGCGGTTGTTCGCCATTTTTTGCGCGCCTCGGCTTATGTGTCCGTGGACGCGTTTTGGGTTACTCCGGTTTCCCTTCTTCCTTGTACGCAGGTGCTGGTTTTCCAGGTCATCCGCAGGATTCTTACGGCTAGCCAGCCTGCAGTCTATCCCCGTGCTCGTGACGTTCACACGTTCGCGGCTCTTGCCGCCATTTTTGGCAACGTGGCCTGGTTTGACGTTCGGGCACGGGGTTTTTGGCGGTCGGACAGGGTCCTTGCTGCCTGTGGTCTCGTACTCGTTCCTGGGCCTAGTCGGGCGTGTGTCGCCTTGGGTCGGCGGTTGCAGCCAGTTGTCTCAGTTTTGAGTTATGGAGCGTGCAGCGACCGCCTCCTGGATGTGTCCCTCTACTTTCTTTTGTGGGTAGTTAGCTCCGGGGAGCCAACGGGGGCTCCCACAGAAAATCAGCGTTGAATGTAATGAAACGCCATTTTCTGGGTGTGACCTGGAGGCTCCCTGGCATCCCTCCCTCCCTCTCTCCATCCAGTCGGCGGTTTTCACGTTTTCTTGACATCCAGCCTCAGAACTGGGGTGTAGATTGCCAGTGTGGGGGTCTGGGGCTCCCCCTTCTCCCTCCCAGGGAGGGGGTAGCTATGCAGACAGCGGCACAGTGATGTGTGACGTCATGCTAGTTTGCTCGTATCTTTTTGGGGAATTCTATCCACCAGTTTGGCGTTAGGTAGCAATTTTAACCAGAATAAGGGTTTGTTTTGGGACGCTTACTTTTCTGGGTGCCCGATCCGGTCGATGGCAGACATAGAATGC